GCAGTCGCGGATAATGGGTCCGTTTTAGATGTCTGAACCAGCCTTTACACAGCTATTGTAGGCGCACAGCAGATCTTCGTGACTGTACGAGGTAGCCGAAACCTCGGGCTGCTCCGGTGAGGACCCCGCTACCCCTCGTCGGGCACGAAACCGTCCGTCATGTTTGTAAGCATAGCTGGGTTGCTTCCTATTGGCTAGGAGCAAGAGCTGAAGCTCGTTTCTTATTGGCTGTTGATTCGTGTGGTTGCTTGCAGTTGCATGTATGTGTACACGTCGCGCACAGTTGTCGTTGAAGTCGCAGCGGTTGCATTCGTTCGTAAGCATAGTGGTCGCTCCGAACGCAAATGTGTGAACGGGCCTTTACAACCGAGCCGTTCGAAGCACCCGCGGGGTGACGAGCGTGTGGCTGACCCAAGGAACACGTAGATGGCGCAAGCGGTCGCGACGCCAACTGGCGTCAACGAACGAGCAGACTACGCCGAGAGCCGGCATAATTAGCTGACAAGGATGCTGCTCCTTGTTGTTACCGCGCCTGTTTTTGCTTCTGCGACTGTCGCCGCCCGCGGAACGCGCGCCGCTTTTGAGTCGAAAAGATTGTCTGCTAAACGCTGGCTCTCGGCGCCGTATGCTCGTTCGTTGGCGGCGTTCGTTGCGCCATCTCTTGTCTCCCGTGCAAAACGGCGTCGTGTTGTTTGAAGACCGGTGGCGTCGCTGCGTTTCCATAGGAGCTGAGCCTTTTTGCTTTTTTTGCTTTTTCCTCAGGTAAGTTCACTCTTTGCAAATTTTACAAAAAAAGAAAAATGCACCATCTGTGGGCAACGCTGCACAAAGTCGTAGCGCGATAAGTTAAGAAACCGAATTATGCGGTCGATTTAAAGAGCCTGGCGTCTCCTTGAATCACACTGTAGATCGTTAAATATGCGAAGTCGTGTCGGAACGGGTGGGGCAGGGGGGCTATATTCTCCATCCCCTACGTAATTCAAACTTATTCTAGCACACGTTTACACTCGGATATCATTTATTTTTATTTTTTAAAAACAGAAAGCACTAAAATTGACCTCCAAATTTCGGAGAATAGGGAATCCAACAAAAATGAACTCCAATAAACTCCAAGGTTTCAGCAAAAAAATAAACTCCGAAAAACACTTTCCGAATTTGACGAAAAAATAAACTTCGAAAACGCGGAATCCTATTTTTTATGCGTAATGATCTAGTCCCAGCGAAACTCGAACCTGGTCCGGTGAGTATCCCTGGAAGGATTAGGCTCCGGTCACGGCTACGGTAGAACGTGTCGGCGAGAGCGGCGGGACGTCGTACAGTCTGACCGCTGACCTCGCTGTTGCCTCGTATCGCGCAGGAGTACTCGTTCGCTTGGTATCGCCCTTACCTGCGGTGCACAATAAAAATTAAAAAAAATTACAAAACACAATGAATGTGGAGAGCTTGAGGTCACCATTTTGAAGAGTTTTTTCTCCGAACGAGAACTCGCTCTAGAAATGCACGTCTCAACGCCAGGAGCGCGGGCCAGGTCGCGCATGCAGCTTTGGCTGTAGTCTCAGCTTACGTGTGAACAGAATACGGTGTCTCGCACTCACCATGGGGCGCGCGGCGCACATTATGACCTCCCTGCACGGTCTTCGTTAAAGCCACTAAATGAGCTACGCTTAGAGTATCAGCATGCTGTTCCCCGATATTGTTGTGGGTGCCGCCATCTTGGTGCTTGTACAGAGCAGACGCAGCATCCGATCGACATGATCAAAACTGCGACTTCATCATTAGATTCGGTGTTAGGAAGCTTATGTAATATTGCTTTGCTCTGTCGTAAACTGTTTCAACATTTCTGGAGGACGGAAAAGCGTTTCCTGTGATTTCAGATAATGCTTCTGATAACTGACAATTACTATATTAAACCAGAAGATTGGTGAGTGCCCTTACTCTGAAGCCTAACGTATTTAGTGGCCTTAATCTTTGCAATAGCCCCTAGAACACAATGTCTACGCGTTTCTTCCTCGAAGCGTCATTACTAGTACGTACCCTCAGCGCCCTCTAGGAAGCCCGGATGAGCACCATCGTCCGTTACATCGTCTGCGACATCGCCTGCAGTGCTTCAGCGGTTTTTGTAGCACACAATGAAGCAATACTCGGGGTTATGTGGATATTTATACAGCCTGTAGTTGTTCAGTCATTTCAAAGTTGCGACGAGTCACTCGCTGTAGATGAGCAATTTAGCCAGTGCAGTACAACCGGGAGCCTGGGGTCTTTAACGTGCACCACGCAGTAGTGATACACGACCGCACGCCGGTACAATGTTCATTCTGATCGAAACGGGCGGGGGCGGGAAGTGAACCCAGGATCCTTGGGCTCTGCAGTACAAGCTTTCACACATAAGGAAATATGCACTCACGCCGAGTGTCTATTGCTATATTAGGTATTCACTGGACGCCATATTTGAGGGCGATGTTTAGAGCGCATGCTCAGAACGAGCTCACATTAATAGCCTGCTAAGACCGGCAACCTTGATGGTGCTAAATGCACGCTCCAAAAGGACTGCGGAAGCTCGCCGTCAGCACGCGCTCAGCAGGAGCGCACACGGACATGGCCGCCAGTGAATACTCCCTATAGCAGGCTATGAAGTTAGACCTTCACGTGGAGTGCACAATGCACGAGTAAAATTGCTTTACTGCTGTGCGAAGGGCTGCAAAGCCTTTGGCGGGACGCTGGACGCTGGTTAGAAACATTTATTTACAACAGTGGTGTCATGCCTAGAACAAAACCAAAAACCGAAAACGCGCTATGTACAGGCTGGCACTGGACGCCATATATGAGGGCGCTGTTTAGGGTGCATGTTCTGAACGAGCTCACATTCATAGGCTGCACCGACCGGAAATCTTAATGGTGTCGCATGGAGGTTACAAATGAACTGTGTAAGCTCGCTGCCAGCTCGCGCTCAGCAGTTCGCTCATAGCTATGGTTGCCAGTGAATGCGACGTAGTTGTGACGAGGCCATGCTCTCGTGAAGCCTCTAGGTGCTTGCCGCTTGGGGCAGGTCGTTGATCCACAAACGATGACGTCATGCACGGGCCTTGTCTTCTTGCTGGTATTGGTCTTTGTCGCATGATCAAATTAACGAGTTTCCTCTTTTTCCCTTTAGTTTCAATTAAGACACTTCAGAAGGTGAACAGTGTTGCTTATCGCAGACTATAGTATATATAATAATGTGTATCACTTGCCTTGCCTGGGCTTCGCTGCTTGCCAAGCTCCCCCCCCCCCCCCTTCTTTCCCCCCGCCGATACCCCTCGGAAGAGTTCTGCGTCCTGAGCCAGCTGGTTGAGCTCACATTCGTACCCCCCCTTACTGCTGCTTCTGTGCTTTATGTACCCACAGACTTCCAGGAAGGAATTCGTGTGGCGGACTAGAGACTACCTCACGGAGATTTTCGTTGGTGGAAAACACAAAATGTAGACAGTCGGAATCGAAAGTACATGATACAGGTACGCCGCTTCACGCCAGCATGAAACAGTCGCGCCCCACGGACGCTAGTGAAGCCGTCTCTCATTTTGTCGCGTCACGTGGATGCCATAGCGCCCCTTGGCCGACAGAGAAACAGGCCTATCAGAGTGCAACGTGGCGCTGGTACAGCGCACTCTCATTGCACACACTCCTCTGTGTAGGCAGGATCGCCGGACCGGCCTTGCCCGCGCGATTGTCTAGGCCCCTCGTCTAGCCCACCCTATGTGTGTGACTACGCAACACAAGTTGGCGGAGAATGTATACTATTTTAATGTCGCAAGACTCCCAGCAATGGTTGCTGGACTGTGGGTATCTGCAAAGAATTGCCGGGCTCTCCCAGTGTAAACGGCTCTAGATCGGCAGCGGGCTTCGCCCCCTCCCTCTCGCCTACAGCCGATTTCTTGAAGCAGACGATGCCCCATTTCCTAGACAACGAATTCACCTGAAGCTGGAACATAGCGCTCAAAGGCGGAGCGTTTTCTACGTTGTTGGCTTGTCACTGCTTATTTAAACTCAAGATATCGGGTTGCGCCATATACGCCTTGTTCTAGCTAGAGAAAAACAGAAAATGGCTGCCTTAATGGATTTAAGTCAGCCGTCCAAATGGTGCAGCTTAACGTATACTTAAAAATTTAAAAAAGCGTATTTGTCGAATAAAAATAAAGTAAAAGTGGTTGACCATGTTAAAGGGATACTGAACCGAAATTTCGAGCTCATAAAACAAGGCTGTACTGATAGGCGGGACGCTGCAAAGCCCAAAAACATCGTTCATACAGCGACAAAAATACGGATCGCCGCATTTTCGGAAAGGAAATGCGGGATTGAAAACCGCCGACGAGGCCGAGGAGACAAGTCACGTCACGATTCTCATTCCCTTTCCTCTTAGCTTCGTCCCGTAGAGTTGGTGAACCGAAGTGAGGAGCAGAGAAGGGAGGCTGCATACCCTCATTCTCAAATGCTCCAGGAAGATTGTGACGTCATAGCCATCGCTTGATCGCGCCTTTCTTTGCCAAAAGCCCGGCCATCCGTTTGAGATATCGACGTATGAGTGATGTTCTAGAGTTCGTTACGTATCGTTGCGTTTCCGCAGCCTTATTTTGCTAAATACAAATTTCGGCTCAGTATCTCTTTAAGCTTAGACAGGCTGCATATCATTAAACTCCTGGTGCGACTTGATAATTTTTTAAAGAAGTAAAAAGTACACATTTTCAAGAACATTCTGGAGATTGATTATCAATTTATTCGCCTTTTAATTTGTGCATGAATCTGGTTTTTCAGCATCATCAGTAGGACGCCTATCTTTAGAAAAAAAATTTACACTCTTCAATATCCTACCCTGCAGAAACGAGGCTCATTTTCGCATCCTTAGCGTCAAAATGAATTATTGTTTGGTTATGTGTAATATATAATAAATGATACGGTCTTGCTTCATGTTCGTACAATTCGAGAACTGAATATGTTTAAGCGGTAGGTTGCATGAATTATAGAAATCACCAGTCATATTTCCACAGATTCATGATATCCGAACCCTTGGTTCGATCCATGATGGCAGTCTGCATTTTCTCGAAGTTTTCACGAGTGAAATGTTGCTTCCAATCGCCTACCACTCCCTTGCGGAGGATCTGAATGTCGGTCGACTGATTAGACTCCTGGTTGCTGATGACTCGCGCAAGCTGCAGGTACGGCGAGTTCTTCTTAAAAACGTTGAGCACCTGCTTGACGTTCATCTTCATAATATTCTTCATAAAATCCACGGTGCTCTTCTCCAGAACTTGCTGAAGAACTTCGTTTTGTTCGAGCTCTTTCCTGTGATGCTCCCCTAGGAACTCGGCCAACCGCAGCACGACATCCTTTTTGGTCGTCTGGAGTTCCTCGTACGTGACAAAGAATACGTTTGAGTCTCCTCTGTGGTTATAACCCGAGAGTACGTGCTCAAAGTAGTCGCCGAACCCCACCCGCGCGTTGAGAAACGCGTCCAGAAAATCATCAAATGTTCCATTCGCGAATTCGGTTGAGGGAGTTCCTCGTATGAAATGGTAGCAAGACACGCAGCAATCCCAGGGGTTGCGTGCGACGTAAATGTACTTGGCCTTTTCGCTAAGGCGAAGTTTGCTCATGGAGGAATGGGTCCGGAGGAGTCTGGGGGATGCGGTCGTCTTGACTTCTTGGACTTCGAGGAAAGGCGCCTTCTCCAGGAATTCATTGAAGGATTTGACCGATTCTCCTTTGGACAAGATCAGCTGAATAATCTGTTGCACCCAGTGTGTCCCGGATCGGGGGTACGTTACCTGCATTCACAAAAGAAAAACAAAATGAATAAAAAGACGAGGTTGATCAAAATGTTCATGAAAAACGTAAACTAGAAGACAAAACAAAAAACCTGGAGTCACCAACAATGACTCTACGAGTTGATCATTCAGAGGTGAGCATGTAAATCATGGTTTAATAATTCGATTGTCAAAATAAACTCAAGCATAAAAATACAAGGACTACAGAAAGAAAGAAGAGGGGTCAAGCGCTCTTACTAGTCCTGTATCTCAATCTCCATCTCATTTTACAGGCTTTTTTTCCTTTTATTTGTTTTAAGTGCAATAAATAAGACCGTTAAGTCATTCTTAGTTAGATTGTTGGTTGTATCAAATAAATACCAGTGCAGGTTCCTTATCAGCGAAGAACCAGATATATATATTTTAATATACAAGTGGCACGCTAAAAAATAAAATCCTGCCAGCTTATTTTACGTTAGAATGTTTGTTGTATCGAATGAATTCCAGTTTAGGTCCCTCATCCGCGAGGAGATATATATATATATATATGTAAATATGTATATGTATTTTTTTTTCTAGCTTTACAGGCTTGTTTAAAAAAAAAAAACTTGTGAAAGCTACACTTACCCAGTTTGTGCAGGTGAGTTATAGGGCCGGGGGGACATAAAATAGGTGGCTCATTGTAATGATCTGCTTGCTTAGTTTGTAAGTAAAGTTTGTAAGTTAACTTTTTAAAAACATGAAAATAGACGTAGGGTTCCAATTAGAAACTTGATGAGCGTGATCCGAAACCACTAAATCAGTAATTTTCAGATAGACTTTGAGCGCGTGAGAAGCATAGTAGTGCACTAAAGGTACCACTCGTGGAGCAGGTACAAGGCTAGCGGTTGCAGTGAAGCGCCCGCGCAATTGTTCCACCTCCTATGAGAGCTCCAGCCTTGCATCTGCTCAACTAGTGGTGGCTTTAGCGCACTACTGCGCTTTTCACGCCCTCAGTCTTTCTCAAAATCACTGATTTAGGGGTTTTTGAAGAAGCTCCGCAAGTTTCTAATTGTAACCATCTGACTGATTTTACGAATTAAAAAGTTAATTAACAATTTTTACTTAACTAGCCGACTGCTCGTTACAATTAGAACCATATACAATGTCCCCGGCCGTATAACTCCCTTGTACAAACAGCACAAGTGTAGCTTTCAGAGCTTTTCTTAAAACAAATCCATAAAGCTTAAAGAAAACCCCCTGTATATTCATATTGCCGCGCGCGCAGTTGGCCAAGCAGGCAGCTCGCGCGTGGCCTAACGGTTATCGCGCTTGCTTTCCACGCTGAAAGCCAGGGTTCGATTCCTGGCCGCGGAGGCACATTTTTGTTGACTCTGAAAAGTAATGTTCTGGTAAATTCGAGAACCATGTTGGGCTTGTCCGAGGTCAGAATGTTCTACACGCCGAACCCTCTACGCCGATTATTCCAGAAGCTCACACGTGTACATAAGGGGCTCCGCGTGGCGATCTGGATTCAGTCTCGCCCCAGCGTTCGACTCTGCTGCTACGCTGACTTCGACGCCCGCGACGCTCCGTTGTTATCGTTTGTATCCTTTTATTTTTGGCACAAGTTCGCCACATTAAACGTTTATTTCTTCCTGTTTATTTCTCGTTAATTGGTCACCACCCGTGACATTTTGGTTGGTCTGCGGGTGGTACTCCGGTGGTGCGACGATGGCTGGTGTGGCTGAGACGAAGGACTTCTTGCGTCAGCTGAGCCACGAATGATGATCCACGGTCTGAGATCAGGACTTTGGGAGCGCCGTGCCGGAGGACGGTGGACTCGATGAGAAACTTGGCGACTTCAACAGCCGTTCCTGATGGAAGAGCTTTTGTCTCGGCGTACCGCGTGAGATAATCGGTTGCGACGATTATCCATCGGTTTCCTTGCGTCGACGGTGGGAAAGGTCCGAGTAAATCCATACCGATTTGCTGGAATGGGGCAGATGGCGGCGCAATAGGCTGAAGAAGTCCTGCCGGTCTCGTCGTTGACTTCTTACGTCGTTGACACTCGTGGCAAGATCGGGTGTAGCGGTGTACTGTCTTGGCAAGCTTGGGCCAGTAGTACTTTTCGCGTATCCTTGCAAGAGTCCTGCGGTAACCAAGGTGTCCCGCCGTCGGGTCATCGTGGCAGGCCTGAAAAATTTCTTCTCGATGACTGGAAGGGATCACCAACTGCCACGCCGTGTTGTTGTCGCTGAAGTTCTCCTTGTACAGCACGCCTTGTCGGATGGAGAAGGTTGGCAGTGTTCATACAGAACCGCAGGGAACGGCGCTTCATTGTCCCTCTAGGTGCTCGATGAGTGCTCGCAGCTCAAGGTCGTCTCGTTGGAGTGCTGCCATGTCGCTGACATCCAGAGCGCCGAGGAAACACTCATCGTCGTCCTCTTTGGTGCAGGCAGGGCCGGCCTCGACTGGGGCCCTTGACAGGCAGGCGGCGTCATGGTGCTTCAGGCGGGACTTGTACACCACGGTCATGTCGAACTCCTGCAGGCGTAGGCTCCACCGAGCGAGACGTCCGGAGGGGTCCTTCAGATTCGCCAGCCAGCAGAGCGAGTGGTGGTCTGTGACCACGTGAAAAGAACTTCCATACAAATATGGGCGAAACTTTGTTATTGCTCATACGACAGCGAGGCACTCTTTTCAGTCGTTGAATAGTTCCTCTCCGCGTTAGACAGCGTCCGACTTGCGTATGCGATAACCCGCTCTGCTCCGTCCAGCACTTGGACTAGTACCGCACTCAGTCCGGTGTTACTGGCGTCGGTGTGGATCTCGGTTTCAGCAAACTGGTCGAAATGGCCAAGAATCGGGGGCGTCTGGAGTCTTCGTTTGAGCTCGTCGAATGACCTCTGGTGTTCTTCTGTCCACTCGAACTTTACGGCGTCCTTCGTGAGGTGTGTCAGCGGTGCGGATAGCTTGGCGAAGTCTCGAATAAAGCGCCTGTAGTAGGTACAGAGTCCGAGAAATCTTCTCATGGCCTTCTTGTCAGACGGCGGCGTAAATGCAGCTACGGCGCAGGTCTTCCCGGGGTCAGGTAGAACACCCTTGTTGTTCACGACGTGGCCAAGGAACTTTATTTCCCCATAGGCGAACCGACACTTTGTTGGCTTGAGTGACAGGCCGGCGGTCTTGATGGCTTGAAGCACGGCTCGAAGTCGTCTGAGGTGTTCGTCGAAATCTCGTGAGAATACCACGACATCGTCCAGCTAGACGAGGCATCTCTGCCATTTCAGACCTGCCAGCACGGTGTCCCGCGCTGGAAGGTGGCTGGTGCTGTACAAAGTCCGAACGGCGTCACTTTGAATTCGTACAGTCCGTCGGGAGTGACGAAGGCAGTTTTCTCCCGGTCACGTTCGTCGACTTCAATCGGCCAGTAGCCACTCTTCAGGTCCATCGACGAAAAATATCGGGAGTGGCGCAGTCGGTCTAACGTATCGTCGATGCGGGGGAGCGGAGAGACGTCCTTCTTCGTCACAGCGTTCAGTCGACGATAGTCCACGCAGAACCGCAGGGTTCCGTCCTTCTTCTTTACAAGGACGACTGGGGACGCCCATGGGCTTCTTGAGGGTTGAATGATGTCATCGTCGAGCATCTCCTGGACTTGATCTTGAATCACTTTCCTTTCCTTTAAAAAGACTGGATACGGCGACTGGTGGACAGGAAGTGCGTCGTCGTCAGTAACAATGCGATGTTTCGCCATTGGTGTTTGGCGAATCTTCGATGTCGTGGCAAAACAGTCACTGTATTCGGCAAGGAGATCAACCAGTTGCCGGCGCTTCGTAGCTGGGAGCTCGGGGTCAATGTCGAGCGGCGGCGACGTCATGCTCTTCTGCTGTGGCGACGAGGTCTCCTCGGAGATTGCGGTGACCACGGCTGGCGCCTGAAGTTCCTCGACGTGGCCCAGGTTGGTACCCTTCGTTAGGTGCTGCGGCTCCTCTCGAAAGTTCGTCACAAGAACAGTTGTACGTCTTTCTTGGAGATCCGTTACGCCTCTTGCGACACCAATTCCTTTTTCGAGGAGCAGTTGGACGCTGCCTTCTAGAAGAGCTTCACCGTGCATGGCTGCGTCGGTTATAACGGTGACAAAAACACTCGACCGCGGCGGTAGGTTCACATGGTCGGCGATAACTCGGATCGCGGTTGACGTTGTTGGTCTGCATTGGCGGTAAAACAGGTTTTCGCAACGTCAACTGGTTTGCCCCGAGGTCGATGACGGCGCCATACTCGCAGAGAAAGTCCACTCCGAGGATAACGTCCCTGGAAGAGTCTTGCAGAACGACGAATTTCACAGGGCACGTTTCACCGTGGGATCTCGACGCGAGCAGTGCATCTCCCGACTGGCGTGATGAGATGTCCTCCGGCGGTTCGTATTTGGGGTCCATCCCACGGCGTCATGACTTTTCGCAGGCGGCGAGAGAGCCTCCCACTCAAGACTGAGTGGTCTGCTCCGGTGTCCACAAGTGCCGATGCGTCGTGGCCGTCGATTATAACGTTAAGGTTGTTGGACACCGATGCAGGGACGTCGTTCTGATACGTAACGTCGAGAGAGTGGGAGCGCTCCGTTGTTCTTGGATGCTCTTTACTACGGCCGTCTTCGGCAATGCCACCTCCAGGCGCTGCCGCACTTAGTTTTCCCTGCGACGCAGGGGAGACACGCTTTTTCGGCGGGGTCGTGACACTGGGGACGCTGAACGTCGTGGCGATGGGGAGCGGGCTTCACGGCGGAGAGACGACACTGGGGAGGGCGAGCGTCGTAGGTACTCCTCGATGTCGCGAGGGCGTTCGCCGTACCTCGGACGTGGGCCGTTCGTGTGGAACCCACGCGGGCCCATTTGCCGGTTAAGACAACGGCGGTAGATATGGTCGGCCTCCCCACAGTGGTAGCAGATTGGTCGTCGATCCGCTGTCCTCCACACGTCGGTTTTCCTTGGCGCCGGATGTTCTCGGCGGCCGTACTGACGCACTTCGTCGTTGCGTCGGGG